CTTTGCAGCTGTACTTCCTTGCCCTCCGTATCTGAACTGGTCTTTCATTTAAATCCACATGTCTTGTGATTTCCTTATAAACACCCCTCTTAACATCGGATTCCATTTTCCAAATCTTGTTGTATGTAGATCCAGCATTTCATATGGATGGAGCACAAAGTGGTGTCTGCAGACCTGCATTCTAACCTCAGGGTTCCAGGTCTCAGCCTGCTTTTTTGTTTATCCTTCCAACAAAGACTTATTGAGCACAGTTTATATACCACTTGCTGTTCTGGATACAGCAGGCAAAGTAAAAGACAAAACTCCCTTTCCTTGTGGAACTAATATGCTAGAGATCTTTAATCTTATGAGGCAGTAAAACAGCTGATGGATAACCGCCATGGTGCCAGGAGGCTGCTGAAGTGACTGGGGGAAGGATGTGGTAATGAATCCGGGAGGTTGTGGCATGGTTTCAATCTCTCAACAGCATTTGGATAGATGGCATGGTTTATGGCTTAAGAGGATGAGACTGAGACACTGGAAATTACTCTGGGCTTCAGCTGCCTGACATATAAAGTAGGTAGGTCAGTGATATGACAACTGGACAGCATGGTCTCTGACTTTGCGGAGTCCTCAGACTGTGAGGATTTGGACATACCCGGGACTAACGCCGTGGGTGGCCCAGGCGCTGGGGCTGGAATTATGGACAAAGGGAGGCATGAAAAGGCAGAGAGGCCTGATGGGACCTGGCATGCTCCCTAACGGGGGGGACCTGGCACAGGGGAGAACAGAGTGGGTGGGGAAGCATGGCGACTGGTCAAGCCACACAGCACGTCACAGCAGAGACAGGGTTGGAACCCAGGGTCTTCTGACTCAAAGCCTAACCCTTTGCACTGCATCCCACAACCTTGAATGTGGGGCCGGGAGTCGGGGAAAAGACTCAGAGGAGCAGGAAAGCACATGCCAGATTCATGTGTTTAAAACCGGTGCCACAGTAGGGACAGTGTGGGACTGTCGCATGATGGAGAAGAAAGGCGAAGAAGGGCCCTGATGAAGGGGGTGAAGAACAGGTGTCATTTCAGAATATAGTTGGGGATCAGGTGGGCAGCACTTGATACCACTGGTTGTATATGGAAGAACCTGAGGAAAGAGGTGAGGCTGTCTCCAGCTTGAGCACCTGGAGGACAACCTGGAGGTTCCTAGCCCTCCCAGGAGACAACATTCTGTGCTTTTTCCCACTTCCTTGGCTAGTTCCACATCTTCCCTGCCTGACATGCCTCTCCTGTTCCTCCTCATCCTTGGAGACCCAGCTCCAGCCCCTGTCAGTCAGAAGGCCGAATCCCTTCAACATAGACCCTTCCAGCCTGTCTCTCTAGTCTCCTTTTCCGCCTTCACGCTGCTTCTGTAGGTGTCATGCATCACACATTCAGCAGTGCTGAGCTTAACACCCGGATCTTACCATTCTGAGGAAGGGACAAAGGACCTGCAGGAGACATAATGCACACATGAAAAATGGACGAGATCAAGTGTAGCTGAGAGTGGGTTTCTTCCTAACTGGAGTCCAGTGTGGAGGGTCTGGGGCTGCAGCCAGGCTGAGCTGCGGAGTGTTGTGACCAATTAGCGATGCCTGCGATGAACACAGGAGGGATGTGGCAGCATGCATGTGATCTGTGTGCAGTCTCTGGACGACAGGATCTGTGTCATTTGGACAGTCTACAGCTGTTCTCAGGAAAAATCAAAGATGATGCCCAAGTGTCTAGAATGGCTGAGGGTAGAAACAGGTTAGAGGGGCTTTTAGCAGAGGTGGGACCAGCAACAGATACAGGCTGTCCTCAGTGTTGTATTTTCAATGTTTAGACCCGTCTCCACTTGTGTGCATTACATAATGATGCCCCTAAACCACCTTTTGTACCATGACTCAAGGCTCTCAGGCCTCAGCTTACAAAGGAATTTTTCTAGCTAATGCCTGCCAGCCAGTGGTTCCATTTTGGCAGCCAACTCATTGTCTGCACTGTGGTCTTCGGGCAATTAATCTGCATATTTTATTTCCCTCATGGTTTTATAAAAGGAGTATAAAAATTAAGGCCTGATATCAAGTGTAATGGAGAAGCTGAGCATCCATTTAGAACTTTAAACAATAGAACTGCTTCAAAATCAGCAGCAGTGATTTAATAAATCATGCCTCTGCTGTATATATTGTCAGGGCATGGAGAGGATCCATTTGGTCAGGTTATAAGTGACCCTTTCATGATGCCCCAGAGGCCCAGTCCACTCAAAACTGACAGGTCAAATAATAACCAACTAGTTTAGTCACATCAAGGTGGTCCCACAGAAGGAAGACAAATTTCTATGATTTTCAGTTGTTCTTATGGTAAAGTTCTTTTCCTTAAATTTATTCGCATTGGGAGTTAAGATAGCTAGCCTCCAGAGATATCATTAATCAGGACCTGGGTGGTCTGGATAATTAATCTTTTGCCATACAACAGACATGAAAGTGGAAATTATTCAGTGAAAGCAGTAGATCTTTAGCTGACTTTTCATAGATGTAGCTGGTTAACTTGGGAGGGGGTGTCATTTTGAAGGAAGAGAGTTAAGGATTTACACGAAATGCTGAAGATCTATGATAGACAGTGCCTACGAAGCTAAGGGAAGTGGAGATTTTATAGCATGTTAGATTTCTGGGCAGAAGCCATCAACCCTCTTGACTGCTGGCCTCTAATTTTTATTCTTATTATCATTAACTGTTGGTCTCTTAGTATTATATATTTGACTTACATTCACCTTTTCTGGATTACACTGTATATGACAGCAAGAGATTGTTTGTACTGATTACATGACGCATCCACTGATCTGATGGTTGATACGGAAACGGTTGCTGAAATTGGTGGGATGAGTTCTGAGTGGGCTAAGGATGGTGCTGTATTGTAGATTAGGGTCGGTGTCTGCATGACGTAATCTAGCCTACAGCCTCTATCAGCAGGACCCACTGATACTACCCCCTGCTGGCTCTTATTTCCTTTGAGGACTTGTTTTAAGTCACTGTTTTGTCACTGAGCAACCAAATGACTTATGTTTGTATTAATATAAAGTATAGTATTCTGCCCAATCAGGTGGCCCAGTTGGTTGAAGTGTCATCCTGTACACCAAAAAGGTTGTGAGTTTGATCCCTGGTCAGGGTGCATAAGGGGGGCAACTGATCTATGTTTCTCACACAATGTTTCTCTCTCTCTACTCCCCCCTCCTCTTTCTCTAAAATTAATAAAATTATCCTCTGGTGAGGATTAAAAAAAATCTAACGTATAGTATCCTGTTTTAGTGTGTTGTTTAAGTGCAAAGTAGAAGTGGGTTGCTTAATAGTCTTTCTGTTCTTTCAATCCCTCCGATATTATGTGCAATACTGTATTTAATGTTTCTGTTTCAGTTTTTCTAGGATGCTAATTTATATAAAAATAAAATGAATGATAAAAAATCCAAGAGGAAATGCTATATAAATGTAGGCATTTCTGGGCCTGGGATGTAATAAAATTTTATTCTCTTCCTCCTTCTGTCCCCAGTTCTCATGTCCTAACTCATTCTCATCCTTTATAGGCCAATACCTGGATCACCTCCTTGGGGATGCCCTCCCTGAGTGCCCCTATGGTTAGCTACTCATTCTTCGCGCTCCCCCATCCTTTGCAGTCCCCCTGGTTACATAATGCATTATCTGCCTACCTGAATGTCTGTCTTCCTACCAGTGGGGAAGCCTCTTGAAGCAGAAAGTTCCACCCTGTGAGTCATTCTTATTTGTACATTCCAGAGTCTAGCTTAGTCTTTGGTACCTAGGAGTATTATTGGTGTGCAGGTGAGTAGGTGGACGAGTGAGGGAGAGAATGAATGAATGAATGGCATGAAGGGCTGAAACATTGGTAAAAGAAAGCCTCGCTTGGAAAGGGGTGAGTGGCTACACTAGCACTGGAGGAATTAAGATCATAGGTCTTAAAGCACAAGTCTTTTATCTGGGGAGTCAGAGTCTCTGCACATCCAAAAGCTTGTACACGTATCTGTGTCTGTGCACATTTGAGGGGAGGAGGGAGAGGGCCCATAGTTTTCATCAGAGTCTCAGACGTGTCTGTGGCTCCCAAATATTGACAAATTGCTGATCGTAACAGATAAAATAGGTAGGTTTCCCTGAGAAGAAGGAACCAAGTAAGTGGAGGAGAGAATGTGACCAAAGAGAAAAAAATCAGAACTGGAGGGAACACTGAGTCCTGCAGGGACCTCAGGTAGGGGCATGGCCCCCAGGACAGGAACTCCCATAGTCTGTGAAGGTATTGACCTGCCCTAAGCACCTCTTTGTGCGGAAGCTCAGGGAAGATTTTTTCTTTCACTGTCTTGATTCTTACACGGAATCCATGGGCTGAGGGAGCCTCTCAGGTTCATTGGCTTCAGTTACCTGCCTCCAAGCAGACCAAACTGAAATGATTCCGGAAACACTGGGTCTTTCCTGCCCCAAACAGCTCCCCTCTCCGCCTTCTCTTTCCTACCCTATCCCATCCTATCCTTAGCTATTAAAACTTGAATTTCATTAGGAACAGTGTTTTTTTAAAAAATGTGGATCTTGGCCCCTTGGGTGAATTATGATGTGAATGTTGAGGGCCATGACCAGCTTTTGAAAAAAAAAGGAATAGAGTAGAAAATACGGACATACGTGAATGTATCACATACAAGAGTGAGTATAGTTTTGTGAAACTTCCTGTTTCAGCTCAGTGTGACAGGGTTGTGATATGTATATTTCTTTCTGTGGGTTCTGGTAAAAAATGTTTGAAAAGCAGTGATATCAAACATCACTCAACAGATACTCACTGAAAGACCCAGCCCTTGAGGGGACTGTGGTGGGAGAGGAGGCAGGAGACGAGGCTGTGTTAGGGTTCACTTCTTATTGCTGCCAGGGAAGCCCTTTGCTCTCGTGAGATGTTAGGGGCCTGCCGCAGTCCGCACCACTGTCTCCCCTTCTTGATTCTTGTCTCTCCCTTCTTGGGCAGGTTGTATATGTCACCGCAACATTCCCCTACGTTATGCTTCTGATCCTCCTGATCCGAGGGGTCACGTTGCCCGGGGCCTCCGAAGGCATCAAGTTCTACCTGTACCCTGACCTCTCCCGGCTCTCTGACCCACAGGTAAGTGTCCTTTGCTAGATGCACAGCTGCCCACCACCCCTGGGAAGCTTTCTGCAGGCCCCTGATGCCGGCCACAGAGGTTCAACAGCTGGCGGGAAGCCTGTAGATCTCTTCTCAGAATTAATACATTTCAATGCCTAGATTAAATATATGGGAAATCAAATATAGTGAAATACAACCACCAGAGCATTAAAAAAAGGCAAATTTGTGACAGGGTAATGATATATGTGCTTGTCTAGCAGTACATTAAATAGCATGATCCAGCAAGAGGTCCGATAATTTTCGTGATTTCAAAGCAACAATGAGAACAAATGATATTTGGAGGTATCTGTGCCGTCATAGGAAAACATCTGGGGTTTCTACTGCTAGCAGTACTGTGGTTTGTTGCCTGCAGTCACAATGGAAGGAAATGTTAAATTTCAGTTAGAGGTTACCGAAAATAAAAACATACTTTTCCCACCACCCAAGATCACTGATCTCAATAGCCATGCATCTCAATGAGGGAAACTAGGTCTTAGTTGGTGGTTGATTTTTTTGTGTGTGTGGGTAGCTCACAGGAAGAAATAATAGGTTAGAACTGGCTGGCCTCTTAGTTGTCTTTGGTAAGGAATTGGCTATTCTGAAAAGTGGGTAGTAAATGCCGTTGCCTAAGCTTCTGTAAGTGGGTATGTGATGCTCTCTGCCTGGGGTATGTTAGATAAGAGATGAAAACAGAGCATCTTCTAGCCCAGGGGTTCTCAACCTCTGCTACTTGTTAGAAGCTCCGGGAAGCTTTTGAAAATCTCCGATTTCAAACCACAACCCAGACCAATTAAATGAATCTCTCTGGGGCTGTGTCTCAGGTATCAGTATCTTTCAGAGGTCCCCAGGGAATGCCAGTGTGTGAATAATGTGCTCAAAGATATTTGAGTGAGTGAGCAGGCACCCATTTTTCTATTGAAACAAACATAAATCATGCGGTAGAAAGTGGAATCTGCATTTAGAACATGAGGCTTGCAAGCAATTTCAAGCCACTCCGTTAGGAGAACTTGGGCGGAAATGTTCAAGGGGTGCCAGTTAGTGCAACTCAGATGTACCTCATCACGGTGCATGAGGGTGCGTGGTGGAGTAGCAATGTGGGCTCACTTCTCTCTCAGTTGCTGTGCTGCTGTGAGGGCCCCAAGGCTCAGCGCAGCACCAGGCACCTGACCCAGCATCCTGAATTGCAGGCAGAAACCCTAGGAGAAAGGAAAGGAGCTCCTGACTGTTGGCCGTGCCCACTCCATCCTCTGATGGCACAGGCTCAACTGGAGAAGAAGTTTTGGAAAACGTATTTCCAAAATCACTGGTCTGTGTACTTCTGTTAGATCTACACATTCTGCCTTCATCCAGGACAGATTCCCCATTCTTTTCTCTGCACACAGGCTTCCTTCTCCTGGTCCTCAGGGTCAGTCAGGGTCCTGAGTATCACCCAGTCTCCCTACGCGGCTGATTATTGGAACACCAGGAAATGTTAAAATGCAGACCCTAGGCCCCACCCTGGAGATTCAGTTTTGGGGATCTGAGATGGCACCTGGGCGTCATCATTATTATTAAGAAACTTCAGAGGGGATTCTAGTGATCATAAAAGTTTGGGAAGGCACACGTGATGGGCTCTGATTCCCCCCGGCCCCCACTACGCATTGTTGCTCTCTGCCTCTGCTGCCACCACCATCTCCCACTTGACAACTACAGGAGTCTAGGCCACTCCCCAATAAGCAGCAGAGTAATTTTTTTAAAAAAAATATTAATCTGATGAGTATCTCTTTGCTTAAATCTCTTCTGGGGTTCCTGGTGGCCTTTGGAATAAGATCCAAATCGGGGGCCTCCAAGGTCCCTCATGAGCTGCCTTTTGCTATATCTCCTGTTACTGTCCCCAGCTTTCAGTTCATTCCAGATATCAGCCTCCTTTCTGCCTCAGGACCCTTGCACATGCTGTTTCCTTGCTGGAAACACTCCTTCTTTCTTCCTCAGGCCTTTCCTTCCCACTCTATCTGACTAACATCCACTTAGGAGCAGGAACCATGCCCTAGGGTAGGGTTTCTTTACTATGACACCATGTATACTTCAGGCTAAAGGATTCTTTCTTTTTTAAAATAAATCTTTATTGTTCAGATTATTACAGATGTTCCTCGCCACCCCCCTACCCCCCACCATAGCAAGAACCTACAACCAAGGAGGGCTGGTGCCTGTGCAGGTGGAAGCAGTGACCCACAGGAGGAAGACAGTCCTCAGGGTGCCTTCCAGCCCTATAGGATGCTCTTCTCCTCGAATCCCAACCAGAGGGATAGGTTCAAGGCAGCTCTGTGGCTCTCCCTGATCCAGGATCTCTGTTCCAGTCCTGGCCCCAGCTCCCCTTCCCTTCTGCTTTCAGGGGCTCAGACAGGCCTGTCTCCTTTTCATGTACATTTCTAAAGGGGCACAGGGTGCTGTGCAAAGCTCCTGAGGCCTCAAACAGAAAAGGAAACATTCTCTTTGAGGCCCCCACCTCCCCTAAGCCCCTCCGGGCTTGTGTGGCAGGGATGCTACATGAAGGCTAAGTGTTGCACTGGAGAGTGGGCGAGTTCCTAGTGACCCTCTCCTTGCTCCCCCCCTAGTGAGGCCAGAGAACTACGGAAAGCATGTAGAGAGCTCAGCTGTGGTGCTCCTGGGAGTGAGGAGAACCCCTTCCTCACAGTGTGTAGTGAGGGCTTCCTGACCACCTTGTTTCAAGTCACACCCCTTAATCCCGCCCACCCACCTGTCCACTTCTCAGCTTTGGTTTTCTCAGTGACACTTGCCCACGTCTCAGACACTGTCCATTTTGTATCAGTCCCTTTACTGGCTGCAATGTGAGCTTCATGCGGGCAGAGAATTGACCTGCTACGTTCACTGTTAGATCTCCAGCCCCTGGAACGGTGCCTGCCAACAGTAGGAGCTCAGTAGATATTTTTTGAATGAATGAAAGAACAGTTTCTGGCAGAACCTGTGACTTTATGGTGTGACTTTACAGTGACGTAGCATATACTGCAGTTGTCAGCTTGCAAACCAGGGAGAAGGGTTTTCGGTGCCGTGGAGTCGGGTGTTGAGGGAAGGAGATTTGAGTCACTCTGCTGCCATTGACGAGCTGGGTGGCCCCCAGCCTGTCCCTTTATCTCTCTGGGCTCAGGGCTCTCACCTGACCGTTGGGATAGAATATCTACCGCACATGACAGCTATGAAGCAAGTGTACACGTGAATGCGAAAGCTCTTCTAGTCCTTATTTTTGGTGCCCAGTCAGGGCCTGGCACGCAGTAGGGCTCCAGGAACACCGGGTGGTGTTCCTCATTTTGCCTCCAGGTCAGTGGTGCTGAGCAGGACAAATCAGGGCTCCACAGACCAAGGGTAGGCATTGAACTCAGAACCAAGTGCCTTTATTGCGGATCCAGTAAATTAAGTTTCTCGTCAAGAACTTGAAGCGACACAGCAGCTCGCCTCCTTTGTCCCCTGGCAATTTGCATTCCGTGGTCTGTTATAACTTTCTAAACATCTATTTGTCTTCATTGTCAGCCCTGTGTTCTCTCTGAAGTGTGAAGTGCTTCCACTCAATTTTTTCCCCCCTCAAATTTTTATTTTCTGTCTTTTTAGTCTTTGGGGAACGGAGTGGCTCTTTCAGGAAATCACATTTTCCCTGCCCCAGATTCCTGCCACTCTCACTCGTCATTGTGTTTTGAGTGTGTGTTTTCAGGGCAAGAACAGAAAGGCCTGTCAGGGATCCAAATCGTGGGGTCTGCTTTCCCAGGGTATGCACACGTTCCCCAAGCTGGCCTTCTCCATGGAAGGACCTGGAGCCTGCAGCTAAGATGTCCAAATCCTGGGGGTGGGGTACAATGATGCCCAGGCAGTGAGAGTACCTCAGAGCCCCAAATCTCCCTCACTTCCCCACCCCACAGAAGGACAAATCAGGAAAAACAAGACGCTGGTTTGAAACCCTACCTGATGAGCCTCCTGGATGTGACTGTGGAATTGCTGCCACCTGGTGGCAGTATACTCTGATTCCAAGCAAGGACCCAAGATAAAATGGGCCTCTTGGCTATTGGACTTTCAAATTAAAATATACAAAATTGGCATTGACTTAGAGACATTGGATATGTTTTTGAAAATATTACAAGCCTCACCGACATAGGGACCGTCCCCTGGGACTTAACCCCCCTGCCCCCAGGGTTTCCTTTCAGCATATTTGATTCTGGGTTAGGGTCGTTCGTCCACTCAGTACCAGGCACTGGGGGTGCAGCACCCCATCACATATGGTTCTTGTCTCCAAGGAGATGACAGACTCTTGGGAGGGACATATGTAAGGCAGTGGTAACGGTGGTGAAGGGTGGTGTTAGGGTTGAAGTTCATCTGACACAGGTGAACTCCTTTCAGTCATTGGGTGAACTCATGAGTTAGAGATGCTTTACGAACGTCCTGTGCTGCTTTTCTTTTCTTGATTGGTTGAAATTTCTTAAGAGTTGCCTATCAATGAAATCAGAATTCCTTCACACACCACGGAGATTATGTGCATCACTGGGGCACCTCATTAAATTCTTTCAGCCACAGGTTTACGCAAGGTGAAGCTCTGTGATTTTCATTCTCAGCGGTTTCAGCAGCGCCTTCTAAATCTGCAGCCTCAGTGGTTGAAGAGCTGTGACACTGGTTATCATTTCTTGGTGACTGGCTCTATGTCAGGTCCTGTGCTTGATCAGCTCATCGTTTAATCTATCTGATTTACTCAATCAGCAAGTAATCTTCAGCTGAAAATTACTATGTTCTAGACCCCGCAAAGTGCCATATAATTATTCCCATGACCAATAAGATAAGTCCATAAGGTCCTATCTCCTTGATGCTGAGAATTTTAAGAATCTGTGTCCTAAAGGTCTTACCGATAAGGGGACTGAGGTTTCAAGAGGTTAAAGCACTTGCCTCGTAATTGCACAGGGGGCACTTGACCGCGTGAGTCTAACTCGGCCTCGCAGAGGATG